AAAATACTGAACACTTCCCCAAAGTAGTACAATGTTACTATGGTAACATTGTACTACTTTGGTCATAGTAAAATATGAAAAAAAAATCTTAAAAAAAAAAAAAAAAATGTAATAAAAAATTAAAAATAATAAAAAAAAATAAAAAAAATTAAAAAATATATATTTTTTTTTTCATACTGTCACCAGTCATTGTCCCTGTTTACCGCCATGCCAGTTATATGATGATGCTGTACTGCACTGGTGACAGTATGTAAAAAAAAAAAAATTGTGAAAATAATTTTTAAACTTTTTTCATTTTCCGAAAAATTATGACAAAAAAAGTACAACTTCAAAAAACTCGCTATGCCTCTTATGAAGTACGTCGGACTGTCTACTCTGCAAAAAGGGGTCATTTGGGGATATCTGTACTATTCTGACATTCTTGGACCTCAAGAAATTAGATTGGCTGTCAGTACTTCAGGATTGATCAATATTCAGATCTATACCATAGTTTGTGAACTCTATAACTTTCCTACAAACTAAATAATACATCCTAATTTGGGTTATTTTCACCAAAGACATGTAGCAGAATACATCTCGGACTAAATTTATGAAGAACAGTTATTTATTTGTAAACTTTTATAACAGAAACAAAGAAAAATGTGGGGTTTTTTTCAAAATTTTTGGTCTTTTTTTGTTAATTTAGCAAAAAATAAAAACCCCAGCGGTGATTAAATACCACCAAAAGAAAGCTCTAGTTGTGTGAAGAAAATGATAACATTTTAGTTTGGGTACAGTGTTGTATGACCGCGCAATTGTCATTCAAAGTGTGAGAGCGCTGAAACCTGAAAAATGGCCTGGGCAGGAAGGTGTAAAATTGCACGGTATTGAAATGGTTAAGGGGTACAGGGTGGGAATGTCTTAATATTGTGTATTGGTGTTGGGATTGTTCATTGTTCTCTGCCATGTGGTTGTCCATTGTTCACTGTTCTTTGCCATGTGGCTGCATCCTATTGTTCTAGCAAACTATTATGGGATGCACTGTTTGTGTATTGGTGTGGGGGTTGGGCAATGTTCACTGCTATGTGCTGCATCCCATTGTTCTGTGTCTTGGTTTGATGGGAGGGCCTGATGATGTGTTTCCTGTTCCTGGTTGTATTTCCCCGCCCTGTGTATATATCTTGTGTTTGTGTTAAAATAAAGCAGTTGACTTCCTGTCTTAAGAAGAGTCTGGTGCTGTCTTATTTCCTGCAGATCAGCGGTGGGGGTCCGTGGATGGTGTTCGGACGGGGAAGTAAAGAGTCTAACGGAAATACCCAAGTGCGGTCTGGGTTCGGTTCCGTGACACCCCCATTTTCTTTATCTTTACACAGCACTTCATATTTTATTCTTGGTTGTTTATTTCCCCATATATACCTTAGTATAATTTTTTTAAACTATTTTAAAATAGGTTCCTTGTAGATATATTGGTAGCACAAAATTTATATAGGATTTTTTCAGAACTATTAACATCTTTACCATATTTATTCATCCTATCCAGTAGAGTGATCCTATAGAGAGTCTCCTCAATTCATCTTTTATCTACCGTATTTTTCGCTCCATAAGATGCACCTGACCATAAGACGCGCCTAGGTTTTAGAGGAGAAAAACAAGAAAAAAAAATATTCTGAACCAATGGACTGCAGACACAGTACAGGGGATGACCAGAGACTGCGGACACACTACAAGAGATGACCAGAGACTGCGGACACAGTACAGGAGATGACCAGAGACTGCAGACACAGTACAAGAGATGACCAGAGACTGCAGACAGTACAGGGAATGACCAGAGACTGCGGACATAGTGACCAGAGACTGCAGACATAGTACAGGAGATGACCAGAGACTGCAGACATAGTACAGGAGATGACCAGAGACTGCAGAGACAGTACAGGAGATGACCAGAGACTGCGGACACAGTACAGGAGATGACCAGAGACTGCGGACACAGTACAGGAAATGACCAGAGACTGCGGACACAGTACAGGGGATGACCAGAGACTGCGGACAAGTACAGGAGATGACCAGAGACTGCGAACATAGTACAGAGAATGACCAGAGACTGCGGACATAGTACACAGGGAATGACCAGAGACTGTGAACCAGTACAGGAGATGACCAGAGACTGCAGACACAGTACAGGAGATGACCAGAGACTGCGGACATAGTACAGGGAATGACCAGAGACTGCGGACATAGTACAGGGAATGACCAGAGACTGTGGACCAGTACAGGAGATGACCAGAGACTGCAGACACAGTACAGGAGATGACCAGAGACTGCGGACATAGTACAGGAGACTGTGGATGACCAGATGACTGCAGGGGATGACCAGAGACTGCAGACAGTAAAGGAGATTACCAGAGACTGCGGACCTTTGGGGGGGAGGGGGAACAAGTACCTGAATTTGACAGGTACCCGCTCCCACTTCCGCGGAGTTGTCCTTCCTTCTTCTTCCCGCGGCGGCTTATGTGACAGCCGGGTGCCCACTGCGCATGAGCGAGAAGTGCTGCGCTTTGTGACTGGCCCGGAGCCTCCTGGGACCTGGCATGTGTCCCAGAAGACGCCGGACCATTCAGAAAGCGCAGCGCTTCTCGTGCATGCGCAGTGGGCACCCGGCTGTCACAGAAGCCGCCGCGGGAAGACTGCAGCGCTAGAGCGAGGAACAGGTAAGGTCCTGCAGGAGAGAAGAGCTAAGCGGCCGGCCCGATATTCTGACATGTTGGCGGCAGAAATACCGAAACGGCCACTTTACATTCGCTCCATAAGACACACTGACACTTTCCCCTCTTTTTGGGGGGGAAAAAGTACGTCTTATTGAGCGAAAAATATGGTAATTTATTAATAGATGTCAGGGCTCCCGGGTACTGACCAGAGGTGTGTGACTGACGCAGGGAAACGCAGACTTTAGATATGTTATAAACAATGTAATTTATTAACACTAACAATACAAACATAAACGCAGTGCAATACTAAAACATAACACAGTGCAAACAAACCAACCAACCACCCACAGATAACAGTACATACAATGCAAGCGTCGTTAGGCAGGCCGGGTCAATATCAATCGGGCAGGTAGGTACAGGGGGGAGCAAGCGGAGAATGGTCGGAGTCACAAGCCAGGTTCAGCAGGTAGCGGGCAGCGTGGTACAGAGGGTCAGGCAGAGGAGAATGGTCAGACAAGCCAGGGATCAGGAGCAGGAGAATGGTCAGACAAGCAGGGGATCAGAGCAGGGTCAGCAGAGAATCAGACAGGAACAGGGAGCAGGAACAGGATACAGGGCCCAGGAGAAACACAACACCAAGGCAGAGTCTGCAGGTCTGAATGTCCCTTAAATACACCAGTATAATTAGTTCCAGGTGTTTGGCTGCAAGGTTGAGTCTCTGATTGCTGGGAGCACCCGCAGGCCAGCCCTGGTACTGCAGCTCATAAGGCAGCTGAGTCCCACTATTGCTGGCCAGTCCATTCCTGACAGTACCCCCCCCCCCCCTCAAGGAGCGGCCTCAGGACGCTCCAAACAGTCCTAGCTGGGCAAAATGTTCCACCACCCGGGTCTGGTAACTGGCGGGATATCAAAGACTGGCACACAGGGCAGGACTCCGGGCAGCGGCACACCGGGCAGAGGCACATCGGGCTGGACTCCGGGCAGAGGCACATCGGGCTGGACTCCGGGCAGAGGCACATCGGGCTGGATTCCAGGCAGAGGCACATCGGGGCTGGACTCCGGGCAGAGGCACTCCGGGCAGCGGCACATCGGGCTGGACTCGGGCAGAGGCACATCGGGCTGGACTCCGGGCAGAGGCACATCGGGGCTGGACTCCGGGCAGAGGCACATCGGGCTGGACTCCGGGCAGAGGCACATCGGGCTGGACTCCGGGCAGAGGCACATCGGGCCGGACTCCGGGCAGAGGCACATCGGGCCGGACTCCGGGCAGAGGCACATCGGGCCGGACTCCGGGCAGAGGCACATCGGGCCGGACTCCGGGCAAGAGGCACATCGGGCCGGACTCCGGGCAGAGGCACATCGGGCCGGACTCCGGGCAGAGGCACATCGGGCCGGACTCCGGGCAGAGGCACATCGGATTACCGGGTGGAGCAGCAGGCACCGGGCCACCGGGTGGAGCAGCGGGCACCGGGCCACCGGGCGGAGCAGCAGGGGCAGCGGGCCACCGGGCGGAGCAGTGGGCACCGGGCCCCCAAGCAGAGCGGCGGGCCCCGAGCCCCCAGGAGGGGCGACAGGCATCGGGCCGCCAAGCAGAGCGGGCGGGTGCCGGGCCCCCAGGAGGGGCGACAGGCATCGGGCCCCCAAGCGGAGCGGCGGGCACCGGGCCCCCAGGAGGGGCGACAGGCATCGGCCCCCCAGGCGGGGCGACAGGCATTGGGCCCCCAGGTGGAGCGGCAGGCGCCGGACCCCCAGGCGGAGCGACAGGTCTCGGGCCCCCAGGCGGAGCGGCGGGCGCGGACCCCCAGGCGGAGCAACAGGTCTCGGGCCCCCAGGCGGAGCGGCGGGGCACCGGACCCCCAGGCGGAGCGAATCAGGCCTCAGGCCACCAGGCGGAGCGATAGGTCTCAGGCCCCCAGGCGGAGCGACAGGTCTCAGGCCCCCAGGCGGAGCGGCGGGCGCCGGACCCCCAGGCGGAGCGGCGGGCGCGGGACCCCCAGGTGGAGCGACAGGTCTCGGGCCCCCAGGCGGAGCGGCGGGCACCGAGTCACCAGGCACGACAGTGGGCTCCGAGTCGTCTGGCAAGACTGCGGGCTTCGAGTCGTCTGGCAAGACTGCGGGCACCGAGTCGTCTGGCAAGACTGCGGGCACCGAGTCGTCTGGCAGGACTGCGGGCACCGAGTCGTCTGGCAAGACTGCGGGCACCGAGTCGTCTGGCAAGACTGCGGGCACCGAGTCAACTGGCGGAACAACGGGCTTCGAGTCGTCTGGCAAGACTGCGGGCACCGAGTCGTCTGGCAAGACTGCGGGCACCGAGTCGTCTGGCGGAACAGCGGGCATCGAGTCAACTGGCGGAACAGCGGGCACCGAGTCGTCTGGCAAAACTGCGGGCACCGAGTCGTCTGGCAAGACTGCGGGCACCGAGTCAACTGGCGGAACAGCAGCGGGCTTCGAGTCGTTCTGGCAAGACTGCGGGCACCGAGTCGTCTGGCAATACTGCGGGCACCGAGTCGTCTAGCAAGACTGCGGGCACCGAGTCCGCCTCTGGCAAGGACTGCGGGCTATTTTCCGAGTCGTCTGGCAAGACTGCGGGCACCGAGTCGTCTGGCAAGACTGCGGGCACCCGAGTCTGGCGGAACAGCGGGGCACCGAGTCGTTATCTGGCGGAAACAGCGGGCACCGAGTCGTCTGGCAAGACTGCGGGCACCGAGTCACCCTGTGGCAAGACTGCGGGGCACCGATCTCTTCTGGCGGAACCATCAGCCATCGAGTCGTCTCTTGCAAGACTGACCGAGTCGTCTGGCAAGTGACTGCGTGCTTGGCACCGAGTCATCTGGCAAGACTGAGGTGGCCCGAGTCGTTCTGTGGCAAGACTGCGGGCACCGAGACGTCTGGCAAGACTGCGGGCACCCGAGTCGTCTGGGCGGAACAGCGGTGCACCGAGTGTCTGGCAAGACTGCGGGCACGAGTCGTCTGGCAAGAAGTCTGCGGGCACCGAGTGTCCTGGCAAGACTGCGGGCACCGAGTCGTCTGGCGGAGCAGCGGGCATCGAGTCGTCTGGCAAGACTGCGGGCACCGAATCACCAGGCACGACAGTGGGCTCTGACTCAATTGGCACGACAGCGGGCACCGGGTCATCAGGTACCGGATTGTCTGGATCAACAGCGGGCATCGAGTCAACTGGCCTAATAGGATCGTCAGGCTGGATCAGTTTTCATCATGCTGGTCGAGGCATCACGGCTGAATGCAGGCGTCCGCTGAGTAGAGGCTTCAGGCTGAGTAGAGGCTTCAGGCTGAACCACGGAAGGCAGGTTCACCGGTTTGGATACTGGCAGGAATGGGTATTGGTTGGAAAGAATTTTCGCTTTTTTCTGGTTTTAACTACTGGAGCACTGCAAGTAAACACAGGTCTGCAAATGAATGGAGCAGCTGGAGACAGAGAAGAACTGGAGGATGGAACAGGAGAGGGAGCAGTTGCTACAGAGGGCTTTTTTTACAGGTTTAAAAGCAGGATAGGTGCAGCGAGTGGGAACAGGGTACTGACATGCGTAGATAGCAGGCAGGAGGAGCTGTTGGGAATGCAGGAATAGAGTTTTGAGGAAATAGATTAGAAGCAGGACTGGGTCTTTGTAAGCTGACTGAGGCTGGGTGCAACAAATCTGTCCATGTCTGCAGTATGGGTTGAACAAAGCTGAGCTTACACAAAGCCTGTCTGACCAAAGACTGCACTGCGTTTATACAATCTCTTAGTACCTGTGGTGAACATGTGGAATAACGCTCCAGAAAGTAACCCACATCATCCTCTAATAACCACACCAGGGACTCTACCTGGTCTGCACTAAATGGTGGCAAAAATTCATCCCTGCATTCGGGGGGTACCAGATGAAACCAACTCAGCACAAACCTCAATCAATGGCTGCACCTCAGAGAACTCTGTGCCCTGATCTACTAGAACATGAGCGAGCCGTATACATTCTAGCAGTTCATCCCGGGTATATTCCTTCAGAGTTTGATAAGCATACTCCCTGTCATCAAACACTAGCAGATATAAATACGCAACCTCATCCAGATCCATCCTTCCCATCAACAAACCAAGATGGCTTCCCTGTGCAGCCACTTCTGGTCAGGATTGGCCTTGGTGTAATGTCAGGGCTCCCGGTAATGACCAGAGGTGTGTGACTGACGCAGGGAAACGCAGACTTTAGATATGTTATAAACAATGTAATTTATTAACACTAACAATACAAACATAAACGCAGTGCAATACTAAAACATAACACAGTGCAAACAAACCAAACCAACCACCCACAGATAACAGTACATACAATGCAAGCGTCGTCAGGCAGGCCGGGTCAATATCAATCGGGCAGGTAGGTACAGGGGGGAGCAAGCGGAGAATGGTCGGAGTCACAAGCCAGGTTCAGCAGGTAGCGGGCAGCGTGGGTACAGAGGGTCAGGCAGAGGAGAATGGTCAGACAAGCCAGGGATCAGGAGCAGGAGAATGGTCAGACAAGCCAGGGATCAGAGCAGGGTCAGCAGAGAATCAGACAGGAACAGGGAGCAGGAACAGGATACAGGGCCCAGGAGAAACACAACACCAAGGCAGAGTCTGCAGGTCTGAATGTCCCTTAAATACACCAGTATAATTAGTTCCAGGTGTTTGACTGGCTGCAAGGTTGAGTCTCTGATTGCTGGGAGCACCCGCTGGCCAGCCCTGGTACTGCAGCTCATAAGGCAGCTGAGTCCCACTATTGCTGGCCAGTCCATTCCTGACAATAGAATGTAGTTTACTTTATATAAATTCTTAAGGGACAAGGTCAATTTTATTCCCAGATATTTTAGTTCTTGTTCCCTTCACATGAAAGAGAATTCACACTGTAAGGCTTTTTTTTTTTCTATTATTGGGACATTGATATTTAAGATCTCTGATTTTGACAGGTTCATTTTTAAATTTGATAGATCTCCATAATATTTTAATATTCTCATTAAACTGGGTAGTGTCAGCCTAGGGTTTACAACATAAAATAACATTTAATCAGTATATGCTTCAACTTTGTGTTCTATCTCTCCTATCTGTATACCTTTTATCATCAAGACTTTCGTACTGTCGAAAGAAGGGGCTCTAAGGATAAAACAAACAGGGGCAAAAGCGGACACCCCTGTCTTGTCCCATTATACATTTTGAAAAACTTTGATAACGAGTCATTAATCTTTACCGCTGCTGAAGGCTGACTATAAAGCTTTCCTATCCACTTTCTCATTTTCGGTCCAATTCCCAATACCTCTAATGTATCCATCATAAATCCCCAGTCTACGCTGTCAAAAGCTTTCGCAGCATCTATCGATAGAACCAATATGGGGGGGTACTCTCTTACTTTCTTGTAGGAGTATCATAGCTCATTATCTCTTCCAGGAATAAACCCCACTTGATATAAATTAATCCATTCCAGCATTAAGTCTTTCATCCTAGTTGCCAAAACCTGCGCATACAGTTTTGTATTGATATTTAGCAGTGATATAGGCCTATAGCTAGCACATTGAGACATATCTTTTCCCTGTTTCGGTATAATTGTAATGTGTGCTTGTAATGACTCCTCCCTCATTTCCATCTTCTAAGTGCGTTCATATATGCACTCAATTTAGGAACTAATTGTTCTTTAAATTTCCTATAATATCTCACTTTATAACCGTCTGGTCCAGGGCTCCTCTCTGCGACTGCACTCTTCAGTACCTCTTGAATTTCTTCCTGTGTTATTGGTTTTTTCTAAAAATGCCAGACTTTCTTCTCCCAATCTCGGTAATTCAGCCTCCTCTAAATACATGTAGCTTTTTTTAGTTCTTTTCTACATCCCTTTAGGTTTTTTGGTTTTACATCATATAACTTCCTGTAGTATTTTTTAAAATGCATTAATGATATCAGTGGTTGAATATACCAATTCTCCATTATCTATATAAACCTTTTTTGATGTGTCAGTGAAAAAATAATATGCTCAAAGTCCAAAAAAAATAAATGAAATTATTCCTCCGTTTTCAGCTTTAACATCCTCATGTGTCCAAACAAGTCGTATACCTCAAAGGAAAGAGAAACTGAAATAGTGTATTACCTCAATTAAATATGTGCCTTATGTGCTTCCCACACCATAGCAATTGAAACTCCTTCAGTCTCATTTGTTCTAATGTATTGTTCTACTTCTTTTTTTTATTCTCACTTCCGTCTCATGATTCTGGAGGAGCATCTCATTCAATTCAGTTGCAAGAAAAAGTATGTGAACCCCTTGGGATTACGTGGAGTTTTGCATGAATTGGGCATAAAATGTGCTCTGAACGTCATCTAAGTCACAACAATAGAAGAACATAGTCTGCTTAACATAATACTACACAAACATTAGATGTTGCCATGGTTTAATTTCACATAACATGTAAACATTCACAGTGCAGGGAGGGAAAAGTATGTGAGGCCCTAGCTTAATGACTTCTCCCAGAGCTAATTGAAGCCAGGAGTGAGCCAACATTGACTCCAATCAGTGTGATGATATTGGATGTGTTGCTGACAGCTGTCCTGCCCTTAAAAAACACACACCTGTTTTGGATTTACTGGTTTCAAGAAGCACTGTCTGATGTGAACCATGCCTCGCAGAAAAGAGCTCTCAGAAGACCTACGATCAAGAATTGTTGACTTGCATGAAGCTGGAAAGGGTTACAAAAGTATCTCCAAAAGCCTTGATGTTCATGTGTCCACGGTAAGACAGACTGTCTACAAATGGAGAAAGTTTAGCTCTGTTGCTACTCTTCCTAGGCATGGTCGTCCTGTAAAAATGACTGCAAGAGCACAGCGCAGAATGCTGCATGAGGTAAAGAAGAATCCCAGAGTGTCAGCTAAAGACCTACAGAAATCTCTGGCACATGCTAACATTTATGTTGACACATCTACAATAAGGAAAACATTAAACAAGAATGGAGTAGGACACCACGGAGGAAGCCATTGCTGTCCAAAAAGAATATTGCAGAACGTTTGAAGTTTGCAAAAGAGCACCTGAATGTTCCACAGCACTACTGGCAAAATATACTGTGGACAGATGAAACCAAGATTGAGTTGTTTGGGAAGAACACACAACACTATGTGTGGAGAAAAAAGGCACAGCACACCAACATCAAAACCTCATCCCCACTGTAAAACATAGCGGAGGGAGCATCATGGTTTGGGGCTGCTTTGCTGCCTCAGGGCCTGGACGGATTGTTGTCATTGATGGGAAAATGAATTCCAGAGTTTATCAAGACATTTTGCAGGAAAACATATGACCATCTGTCCGCCAACTGAAGCTCCGCAGAGGATGGGTGATGCAACAGGACAATGACCCAAAGCATACAAGTAATTCAACAAAACAATGGCTGCAACAGCACAGAATACGCCTTCTGGAGTGGCCCAGTCAGAGTCCTGACCTCATCCCGATTGAAATGCTGTGGCATGACCTTAAGAGAGCGATTCACACCAGACATCCCAAGAATACTGCTACACTGAAACAGTTTTGTGAAGAGGAGTGGTCCAAAATTACTCCAGATCGTTGTGCAGGTCTGATCTGCAACTACAGGAAACGTTTGGTTGAGTTTATTGCTGCCAAAGGAGGGTCAACCAGTTATATTAAGTCCAAAGGTTCACATACTTTTTCCTCCCTGCACTGTGAATGTTTACATGTTATGTGCAATTAAACCATGGCAACATCTAATGTTTGTGTAGTATTATGTTCAGCAGACTGTGTTCTTCTATTGTTGTGACTTAGATGACGTTCAGAGCACATTTTATGCCCAATTCATGCAAAACTCCACGTAATCCCAAGGGGTTCACATACTTTTTCTTGCAACTGTATAATCCAATCTAGAGTACATAACATGTGCAGGGGAATAGAATGTATAATCCCTTTCTCTGGGGTGTTTAATTCTCCAGGAATCCATACGCTGACACTGATATAGCATTTTTTGGATAGATTTTATACATTTACCTCTATCTCTCTGCACATGTGACGATGTATCCATCCATGAGGGTCCATGCAAAAATTAAGATCTCCTGCCACAGTTTGCCCTTCTTAAAATCCAAAAGCTTTCTTAGTATATTCTTCAGATAAACCATTGGATTTTTATTATTAGGGACAGTAAATATTTGCTAATGTACATTCCATTTCCTGTTATCTCCCCCTTAAAAACAAAAATCAGCATTCAGGATCCACCCACCTACCTCAATGTTAAATCTTAAATTCTTTGCTTTACAAATTGCTACCCATTTAGCGCGTTTAGTTGGTGA